CTGTCACATAATTCATAAATATTCATAATGGATTAAAATATATATTTTCTATGTTATTAAGAATATTATTTAAATTCTGGTTATATATACTTTTGGATTTGCATAGGTGGATTAAAACATGAGAATTATGATATAAATTAACTTCTGCTGGTTTTAGGATCCACGTTAAATAGTATTTTAAAATTCAACGGGTTAGTATTTAAAATTTAAATATGTATTTTATTAACGCGGATCCTATTCTAGTTAATATATAAAATGCATGTCGATGTACCTCTTTTTCGTTGTACATTGGGATTTGGACAAGGACCATGGGATAGGATTCATTCCCGAGCTCAATGTCCTCTTGCATCGGCTCCCATTTGTAGAACTTTTCGGGTTTCCGCTTAAACAACTTGACATAGAGTACTACAAGATTCATGTAAATACACTCTGTGAAAACTAAGAGGGAGATTATCAAACACAAAGCCACCAAACACTTGAATAGAGGAACTATAAGTAAAGTTCTCAATTGTCGTCCCCATGTCGTCATTTCGATGCTTATCCTCACACCATTAATGGATGCTTCAAGCTTCTTGGGAGCTACAGCTTCATCTTTAGTACTCCTTCCATGGAACTTGTCAAAAGAAGAAACGAATCTAAGAGCAAAGAAACAGAGCCAGTGATAAAGAAAGATGATATATTAATTACCATTAGAGAGAAGAAAGCAAGATAAGAGTCTTGTAGGAAGATGAGAGGTTTCAGAAACAGAGACATCTTTTGGGTCTAGTTTAAGCTCAGTGACTAACTAACTGACTTTAGGAGAGATTCTGATTCAATGGTGTGCATTGCATCTAATTTAAGCAAAATGTTTATTTATTTAACATTGTTTTTCGTTAGGACTATTTGTTTTTTAGTTTGTTTGGTCCTAGTTAGATCTGTCGTTAACGGTAGTAGTGTAATACGTACAATGCTGATTGTTTGGAGATGCTTTGATGACTCACGAGCAGTATCGTAGCTTGGAACCACACAAGTGAAAAAGAACAAAAAGTTTTTTTGGTAACTCGATCCTCTCACTTTTTTTTTTTAATCCATATTTATCACGTGATGCATTTTGCAATTGTACTGGTTTTTCTTTTTCTTTTGACGTTGAGAATGACGTGATGCAACATTTGGAAATTTTATTATCGTTGAAATAATCCGTAGGATAAGTAATGCGAGTACCGTAATATATAATAATCGGTTCTAAAAGCGGTGATTACAAATTACATTGGAAACGATTAAGTGAAGCACTGAAGCACGTAGAAAGAAACCCATGACAAGATGAGGCCGAAGACGATAAGAATCCGGTGAACTTAGGATCGTATAAGTTGAAAAAGACACAACTTTGTTAGTTTAAAATGCAATTAAACCCGACCAAATTGCATCAAATTCGAAACTCACGCTCTTTGAATTGATCGTTTGAGTTACCAGGATGAACAGGCTCGAGTTTTGACTGAAAAGTCTTTTTGCCCAGGTCGGGGTTAAGGGTGGAATCGGGTTTGATAAACCAAAAATGAAAATAAGTTCTAAAGAGATAGATGGCTTCGCCCGGGTTCGAAACGTAGACCTTCAGTGTGTTAGACCGTCAGTGTTGTACACTTGGTGATACTATAGAATATATATTAGATTTGTTTCAGAAGAAATTTTTGCAACAAGTATTTGTAGCATCTGTAAATGTGATCCCTAGACATATGGCCATCAGTTCCGTAACTGCTTCCCTGAAAATTACTAGAACAACTTTGAAAAGTTTTTAAATTACTAAAACAATTCTTTGAAAAGAGAAAAATATCATAAAAAGGAGAAAATACTTATAAACCTTTATTTTTTTTATCAC